GGAATTCTAAAATCAAACCCAATTCCTGACACCCTAGGCTCTTTCGGGTAAGTCCTGGACCAATACGTTCAGAATACGTTCTGGGGGGGAAGGGCATCCCAGCATATAGACCTTCTTAAAAAACATGTTAGATATATATACACGATTATTAACCATTGACCCTTTGCAACAACTYCTGYTGGGCGTGATTCGGTGGGCAGAGCTATTCCCCGCTACAAAATCGAGTGGCACTCTGGGCACTAGAATGGCAGTGTTAGGACTGGAGAGAGCATGGGTAGACGGCTTTTACTTAAGTATAAACGAAATGACATCTTTAACTACTAGTAATGTAAATTTAAGCAATATTCTTACTGAATCAGACATTCCAGGGGTTGTWCTACCTGAAAAAAGTCCAGAATTATGTAGTGTTGTGAAAAGATGGTTGACCTGTTGAGGTGCTTGTACAATGGGAAGAAAAGCCGAACTTGTTTTAAGGTTAGTTGAAGCTTTGTTGGCGTCCTTAAATGTTTTGATTGATGAATCACGAACTATCACAGGAAAAAACTCTTTAAAAAACATCAATGTTTTTTTGTGTTAGGGAGTGGTTTTTTGCAAATTTCCATTCTCATCAGAAAAACATTAATGGTTTTAGAACTGAATTCCCATTATGACTTTCTAAACCATTAATGGGAATTCAAGAAACATTTATGTTTTTTTGGGGTAAAACATGAATGCAACTGTCATGGAAAATTGAGTTCAACAACCATTAGTAGGAATTACAAAACCATGCATGTTATTTATACTGAAACATGAATGGTTCTTGTTTATTCCCATTAATGTGAGTTCACATCATCTCAACCATTAATGGGAATTACAAAACCATGCATGTTATTTATACTGAAACATGAATGATCTTGTTTATTCCCATTAATGTGAGTTCACATCACCTCAACCATTTATGGGAATTACAAAACCATGCATGTTATTTATACTGAAACATGAATGGTTCTTGTTTATTCCCATTAATGTGAGTTCACATCACCTCAACCATTAGNTGGGAATTACAAAACCATGCATGTTATTTATACTGAAACATGAATGGTTCTTGTTTATTCCCATTAATGTGAGTTCACATCACCTCAACCATTAGTGGGAATTACAAAACCATGCATGTGATTAAGCTAATATCAATAATGGATTTTATTACAGTGATAGTATAGTTCATGCCATGGTGTCCCAGTAATTGTTGACCCATCCTCCAGGCGCCAAGGAGATGATAGAGTCCCATGAAACAATATCCCTTGCTAATCTCCTATTTGACTCTGCAATGTAGACAGTACATTCATCATCACTTTCAGCAGCTTTTTTATAATACCAAAGCAGTACGGTCTTTGAGTTCCTATGAACTTTGATCACTTTTGCCAACCATGGTTCGGCTTCATCTCCCCTAACAAGTACCATATCATCAACCTCTGGATAGAATGGTACTACAATTCCATCCTGCAGCTGATTAATTGGCATTTGCTTTCTAAGGTAGTCAACAGCAATTAAACCTGTATTTTCCTCCTGCTCAAAACATGGAAAAAGCATGAGTTTTCTTGAAATTTTTGATGGACAAAAGGTAGTAACATTCTGCATTTCATTTACAAATTTGTAACCTGAGTATTGATGTATAATATCATTCCCATCATCATCTTTCATAGTTTGGTACTTCCTGCCCTCACAGAAGGTGTAGAAATCATTTCTGATAGCCACGCAATAAAATGCAGTAAACTCTATCACTGTTTCAACATCTGCAATGTCTTCAACAACAGCATGCTCACCAACCCTATATAACACACCTCCAATTCCATGCAATGGTTTAAGGAGAGATCTTGATTTGAAAGCTACAGGTTGAACATCTTGAGCATTAACACCACTGCAACAATCTACTATCTGTGTCACTTGTTCCCTTAACAGAATACACTCATTGGCAGACATGCCTCCAACTAAAACTCCTCTGTTGCATCGGTTGACATGAGGAATGTGAGACTCATTAACTACTTTGATGAGCTCATGTGCTGCTTCAAGGCTCTTTGCACACATCTGTAATAATTATAAATATGAAGTATTTTACTCAAAATATTATAATATTTCAACATTTAAAAATGTTTTAAATATCACAAATAACAATCTGATTGCCCTACTTCATCATGACGTTACTGCTAGCTTGTTAATATCACGGGACAGATTCAAGAACCATAGAATTAGGAAAAATAATTATTGCACTAAGAAGGAAAGGTTGCCTCAATCGGTGTCATACCCAAATATGGCATGCATTGACAATTTAATAACTGCTGAGTATTGCTTTTCCTCGTTCTATATCACATTATTTTGACATGTCATAGTGAAATAGGGTAATTAGAATATTACTAATAACCTTATCAATATCAATTTGCAAGGGTTTATGCCTTCTGTTTTGGAGGAGAGGACTTGTATTTAAAAGCTTCATCAATTCTCTTCTCTTTTCCTTCTTGGCATAGGTACACTCAATGTTCTTGAAATTGGTGGTGGTGTTGACATATCTCCTTACTGCCCTTTCAAATGAAAAACACCAGTAGTTATCAGGGTGGGAAAACCTCAGTGCATCTTCTTTTACATGAATAAGGTTGTGGACAGTTATTGTACAAAATGACAGTCCATAAGTTTCTTCTAGTAGTACTGCATAACGCCAAGCAAGGTTGTGAAACAGTTCAACATCTGCAATATCCCATTCCTCCCGCTTGCTCTCACTAAAAACTAGCTCTACCATTCTTGTGACTAGCTGCCAGATGTGATAATCAAGTCCATCTAACTGTCCAGCAAGAATACACTCTGATAAAGGATATGCAAACTTTTGATATTCTTCTGCTTTCCAGTATCCAAGTCGGGTAGCCATGCCTTCTGGAATTCTACCATCCTTGAGTTCTATATTATAAAGATGGCAATATAAAAATGAGATATACTGTATTACTACAATGTTATGATATAGACAACTACCCTAAATTCTCAAGCACAACAATAACAATATGCAAAATGTATGAATACCAGGAGTCCAGGGAACAGCATTCAGTCTTTCATCAATTACTTTCTTGTTTATCTTATCACTGTCAATAAGCATCTGAAAATGATTTGAAACAACATTCATAGGAAGGTTATGCATCATATCAAAGACACAGTCTGTGATCACATTAAATCCATACAGCTTATAGAGCTTATGAAGTATGCTTAAGCCAGTATAGCCAGTGTTTCTGCTCATTTTGGAACGAATGCTTTTGCGATCCTCTTGATCTATCTCTTTCATTGTTCCCAAGTCTTCCAGAAGATTGCGTGCATCGAAAAGATATCTTGCATGGTAACGATTGTCCCCATAATAGTAATGGACACCTGTTGCAGATGTAGATTCTACGGCTGCAGGAGGAATGTTAAAGAGCATCTTAAAGTCAAATGGAAAGTGCAAAATATAAATTCAAAACAAGAATATAATCATAATTAATTAAGGACAATATTTTGCTGGTCTTTCTAACCATTCCCCTTTATGAACTACAAAGAATAAAGACAATATACCACTGTACCTATTCCTTTGAGTTTATCCCTTCTGCATGGTCGGATACCACTCTTGATAAATTTGCCAACTTCACACTGCCCTGGATAGTCACCGGTCCATAGAATTATGAGGCAGCGGAGTGATATTTCTCCAGGAGGAAGACCAGCCACTCCTAAAGAATAATCCACCTGCAGTCCTGATGCATAAAAAAATGGATTCAATCAATCAATCAATTAATCTATGAAAAGGTATCAATTTCCAGACATTTTGATTTCTTATTGCTATGATGGATTCAGACTACACCAGAGAAACTGAAGCTCCATATATTGGAATGGGAGGACAAAAAAATCGATTTACCATTAATGCCACACTAATAATGCAATGAGACATCTTTTTGTCATCCCATGTACCATTATCAAGTCATTATATATTTACCAGAGATAAATAGTTCCTCAGCCTCTGAAATTAAGGGATGAAGAAATGGATCCAGACAGTTTGGGCGTTTCTTTGGCAAACAGTGGCTTGGTACAAATCCAATAACATATATTTCCTCTGTTGAACTTCTCTCTTTCTTGTACATATTTGCTATTGTAACCTCCACAGCACCTAAATATTACATTAAACTATAATTAGAATAATTTTTTTAAAGAACAAAATTCAGAATCCCAAGAGGACAGTGTTAATTATCTTTAGTTTAATTCAAAAAGCACTTTATATTAAGTAATGATGTCGATGATGATAATAATAATAATATTTTATTGATATTCTTTACAAAATGAATGTACTTTGGAGGGTTAGCCCCACAGAATTAGATTTCATTCTAGTAAATAAATAGATTATAATAAATAAGAGCAATAAAACGTCGTTTGTATTTTCTAGTTTTATCCAAATTCTCTAATTTCCGTTTATATGACAAATACAATTTTAGGTATACATATTACTTGTTAATAATAAAATGTTCAAATTGTTTGTGTAACTTACCACAACTGTGTCTACCAGATGCACCAAATGGTTGCCAGCCATCCCAATGCCCAATTAATGCAATATTTCGAGGGTCACCATAAGTATATATTGAAGTGTGGACTTGTCTGAAACCACATTCACTGCAAAGAACATTGTAACTATTGTCACTTAAATGTTCAGAAGACTCTATCTCATCAACACTGATGACAGACTGGCAAAATTGACACTTGAATGGTAGCATGAAGGTGATATTCGGATCCCAAAACCAGGAAAGTTCATTGAATCTTGAACCATCCCAAATTTCTTTGAGTGGGAAATTTGAGCCAGTTCCTTCAATCCAGCTGTCTTTGTTATCCCAATGAGCCATCATTTTTCGACACATTTCTGTATTTTGACACCATAGAACAATTTTATCTGACAATCCCAAATAATAGTATTTTATTGATCCTCTTTTTCCACAGTATCTGCATTCTGAAGACGGGTCAGTCATAACATCCCAGAGAGTATAGTGAGAGTCATCAAGGCAGATGTATAATTCCTTTGGGTCCTTGTAACCATAATTTTGGAGAAGTCTTTTAGTTTCTCTCCAATTTTTGGGCCAAAATGTTTCGAGGTCGGGGTCTTCACGGCAAAACAACTCCTTAGCAAACTGAAGAACATCATCAAAGTCTTTATTGCTGCCATTCATCTGGGCAGCTAAATTCATGGCCCTCAAAATGGTACAAATGATTTCTAACTCAATGGCGTTAAACTGATTTTCAGACTCGGTTTCCGAGTGAAAACTAGAACTGGATGTAGGTTCTTCATGAGCAGATAAATGTTCTGCTGAATCAGATTGATTATCACTGTGACTTGAATCCATGGAGTTTTTGTCTCCGACACTTGCACAATCATCATTTTCAAAATATTCGTCGTTAGCAGTTTCTATCTCGATGCTCTTTTTTTTGTTCCAATGAATATACTCCAAAGAAAATGAAACAGCTTTCCCATCACACTTTTCGCAAGGGCAGTGTACGTGAGTGTAGGCAAGATCTTCGCAGTGACAACGAACAATCGAAAATCTATCCCAAGATCTCTTTCTTACGGTTGTTCCTGTGGTCGTTCTTTCCGCCATCTTATAGAAATTGAGCCAGGCGTTCCTAGCATGGCGAGGGAAAAATGGGGATAGAGAGAATTGGCTCGTCTCCAGCCCTCAGCTTCCAAACGGTCTGGGAACAAAAATGATGGTCAGCGGCAAAGAATTTATGTTCATGCTCAAAAAATTACATTAACCAATAGTAGCAGACAATTTTGGCGCTTTTTTTTCTGGCGGGAAGCTGCTGGTTTCTTCCTCTTTCTTTCTGCTGTGGTTTCGGCAAAGAAGACATATTTTTCTCTGAAGTCGAAATGCAAGAAAATAAAGATCTACAGGAGTTTTCAGCCCCTGAAGTCAAGCTGTGGCTAAAAACGAAAAACTTCTCAGATGAAACTGTTGAAAATTTTGAAGATGAGCGTGCTTAAACTGATCAGTATTAATATTTTCCAACTCGATTTGATTTGGCATCTCGAGGCATGGCTCGCGCCCTCTGGGATATGTCAGGACTTAACTCATTATTTCAATATTCTTTTCATTTAACAGAACAAAAAATTGATGGGAAAGCCTTGATATACTTAGCAGAGCACGGGAGTGCACAGCAGTACGAGGCTTGTGGTTTAAAGACTGTCGGGGAGCAACTGCATTTCAAACAAATTGTGAAGACCACAACCGATGACTCCACAACAACGTCAAGACTAGCTGCAGGCTGTAGAAAAGCGCATAAGCCAAGGAAGGAGGATATCCGAAAGTTATCCCCGATGAACCAACGGATTTATAAGACCAAGTAAAGTCAAATATAATTAACAACTTAATCTTATTTTTCTGGCATTAAAATTTCTTTAAGGCAGTTCCGGACCCTTGCTTTTGTTTGATTTGCACCATGGATTTGCACCATTTCCAGCTTAGTTGTGATAAGTTGTACATACTTAACCTTTTAGTGTTTGTACTCATACCTACCCCCCAAACCATTTTATTTGATCACCTAATATTTAGATTCTTTCATTATGGTCAGTTTTTAATTTTTTCCACTTTATCTGTAGACGTAGTGCAGTGCGTCAAGCTGCTATTAACAAATGGCCAGGAAATGACATACCAACTTTCAAAAAAAAATCCACTGCATTGGAAGAGCTAGAAGAATTGGTCAACCAACTTAAAAAAGAATGTAGCTTTGAGCCAGCCGACTTCGATAGAAAGGGAATAAAACAACATGTATTGGATGTTTTGAATGAAAGAAGGCGCCATTTAAGAAGTGGACATGACTACACTAAGGTAAATATTAGAATGGGTCAATTTACAGATATGAAAGGACTGTCCATTTTTTATCAATTTTACTATTTTTATAGGAAGACAAAAGGAAACTAAAAAAAGTGAAAACTGACAGTGATGGTTCAAGCAGCATGGCTAGTACAGCCTCAACAGAAATTCTGTCTGAACAATCAGAAGATGAAGACTTGTCACCAAGAAAGGGAAAAACGTCCCCCCAAATCATACCTGAAACATATACTGATGATGATAGTGATTATGATCAGCCATTGACACAGGTACTAGGATGTCTACATGTTGTGAAAAACAAAAGTCCAAATTTTTTTTGATAAGCCACTGTAATATTACATTGATAAAGAAGCACACTTAAAGAATCATTAGTAAAAATATTTCATCTTATGTGGCATTAGGTAAGCAATAACCAACCCAAAGAAGATGATAAGGAAGACAAGATGACAGATGAAGAGAAAAGTACAGTACCTTCAAATGCAGCACAAATAATTATGCAGGTTGCCTTTAATGCACTTCAGTTCAAAGATATATCTAAGAAGCAACTAATTTCCTATGTCAAAAAGTATAAGCTACACCTCAAACCCACAACATTAGAAAAAAACATGTGTGCACAACTGCTTGCTGAATACTTTATTCAGGAGGGCTATGTCAAAGTTCAATGCCCATTGAATAAGATTGACCGAGAAAAAGTGTACAAACTGAAAGTTTTTTAAATTAGAAAACTTTCACCTAGTACACTTCATTTTGCTCTGTCAATTTTATTAAATATTACTTGTTTTTGTTTAAAGAGATACATGAAAAGTGTCCACTTTAATGCTCTGAAGCCTAGTTGAAAGTGTTTAAAAATTGTTCCTGTTAGCTTGTTAATTGTTCATATTACGATAAACACTGACAAGGCAAATGTGTGTGCTCGTAAAAACAAGTTTAACACACCTTTGTAGTATGCAATGAGGAGTAAAGTTGAGTTAAAATGAAACAGAGGCCTGATTAGAATCTTATTCATGTGAATTATAACTATAAATTGACATGAGAATTTTGGTGTAGTTAATTTTCTTTAATATTCATCCTTCTAATAGTGGTTTTTTAAAAACCTGCAATGGGAATAATGAATTACTACCCTGTAAATTGCGATATCCCATCCATGTGAAAATAAGATTCACTAGTGGTTTTTACTTAAAAACCTACAATGGGAATAATGAATTACTACCCTGTAAATTGCGATATCCCATCCATGTGAAAATAAGATTCACTAGTGGKTTTTACTTAAAAACCTACAATGGGAATAATGAATTACTACCCTGTAAATTGCGATATCCCATCCATGTGAAAATAAGATTCACTAGTGGKTTTTACTTAAAAACCTACAATGGGAATAATGAATTACTACCCTGTAAATTGCGATATCCCATCCATGTGAAAATAAGATTCACTAGTGGRATTTAAAGGAAAACCAGGCTTGGGTAGGAAATACACACTCGTGGTATTGGATAAAAAAACATTATGAGGTTTTCTTTTAACACACATGTATTATTTTAAAATCACATGCATGTACAAAGGCAAATACATGGATGTTAATATGGTGAATACCATGACAGTTTTTATCAATTTTCCACTCATGGAATTACTTTGAAAAACATTACTGGTAATAGTTCAACTTTAACATGGATGTTTTTTTGAATGGGAATTATATTAATTAACATGCAAAAAAACACACGTTTTTTTTTTAAAATTTCCTGCGTATTCGCATTATAAATGCTGTTTAATCGATAGTTTATGCTTACATTTTGCTTCAATGATCTTAAGGATTCAAGGGTCAAGGATTACCTGAAATGTGGACTCGATAAGAAAGAATTACGAGATCCTGATGGTGGCGTGCACCTGGCGAGAA